TAATTTTGAATCCAGCGCATCTTTTAGTCTCTCCGGGATGATGCGGCTTAATATTTTGCTTGCATTGGGTGGACAGGAGCATGATTCCTCGCCAGTTCTTGCAAAGACTTAGGTGTCCCTTCTTTGGGAGTTTGACAAGGTAGCTCTTCTTCCAATCGATCTGCAGGTACCTTTCCTTCCTCCCAGACCTTCTGCGATAGTGGTGTGGTGTGAGCATGTCCTCTGTTGTCTCTGCATGTGTTTTCAGTGCTTCTGATGGAATTGCATCTGGTCCTGCTGCTTTCCCGGATTTCAGTAGGTTTATTGCGTTCAGGACTTCGGCTTTTGTCGGAGGGTTTGTGTTTGCTGGTAATTGTGTGGCTGGGCTGCTGGTGGTATATCTGAACGAGTTGTAGGTGGTGGTCGGTTCAAGAGTTTTTTGAAGTGGTCAGCCCATTGTTTCCTTTGTTTCTCCCTTTGGTAACTATCTTTCCTTCACTATCTTTCATTGGTCTCATCTGTATTGATTTCTTGCCAGATAGACAGTAACCTGGTTATTTGATATAGTGTTGTCAGGTCTCTGCTAACAGCAGTCTGTTTTGCTTCACTTGCCAGTGTGTCGTAGAAGTGTCTTTTGTGTTTGTGTGAACTCTTCTTCACTTCTTCGTCCAGTGTTTTATAGGTTGTACTTAGTTCCTCTTTTCGTTGTTCATCCTTGCACTAGTTTGTCTTCTGTATCACCATCTTCCTCTCCCTGCTCTATCAGCTTCGATGTGTCCATCGAGATCCATTCCTTGCCCTGTTTTTCTTCCTTTGTAGTAGGGTTATGAAGGTTTCTTTCCACATCTCTTTCAAAGAGTTCCAGTGCTCATCCACACAGGTTTCTTCAGGGATGCTGCTCAATATCTCCCATTTTGTCTTGATGACTGACTGGTGTGAAGATTTTCTTTGTAGTTTCGTCCTTCAGTTTCCGTTCTGGGTGTTGAACGTGAACTGTGATCGTCTATCACGAACTTCTTTGAAGGCTTTCAACTTGATTTTGAAGGTAGGTTGGTTGTGCTAGATAGTGAGTGGTGTGAACCTACATCTGCTCGCCTTCTTGATTTGATCTTGTGTCCAGTGGGCTGCGTCTTCACTTTCTTGAGATTGAGATGAAGTCGATATGATTTCTAGTGTGTCCTGGTGTCTGGTGAAATCAACTCGATGTCGCTTTGTGAATATCCTTGTGTTTGTACACACCGCCTCCAATCACCAAGTCATTAAATGTGCAGAAGTCTGAAGAATTTATCAATCAATGTGTATTCTATGACACTGAGATAGGCTTGTTGTTTAGATTTTTGTCTGAAAATACTCTGCAGTATTGAATAACAGATTATGAATAAATTAATATTTCATTCTCACATTATGAATTTAACATAAGAGAAGCCAGTTTAGAGACATCATGACATTGATATTTGTTGAAAAAACTACAAGATTTTAGGGGTGTCGAACGGTACTAAAGGGATATCATTAAACTCTATTAAAGACATCAAAATATTCTGCTAGTTATGAAACTTACAAGAAACTATCACTTTTCAGTATATTCACAGTATTAAAGTTTAAATCGTTTTCAGTCATTTTTTCCACCACAGGTGGCACCATGGTGGCGAGGTGAATTTAAAACTTGATCAGTGGTTGGATCTCATCGGTTAGTTAGTAGATTACTGGATCGATAATATTGAGACCGCTGGTTCAAAACCTACCTGTTAGCTTGGTGATTAGATTGCACACCTAATCGATAGATTTCGATCAGTGCTGAGCACTTAGGATTGGACAGCTAGATCGACTAATCATTGGTGACCATTTTGGATATATTCGAATTGACTGCTAGTGGATTGGTGTGTCAGTCAGTGAAGGATAAAACGTTGTTGATGAAAATTTTAATGCAGGCCACTATTAAGTAATGCTTAAATGGAGGTAAACGCAGCCTTAGCACAATCTTCTCATGAAAGATCGTACATACTAATACTTAAAAAATTAATTCGATGCCAGCGTATCAACTTTAAGAGATATATATCTTAAAGTTGTATATGCTGCAAAGAGTTGTTGAATAACATCAATATATGAAGATATACATGGAGCTTTGGCTCAGTGATTTAGGGAAGTGATTACCAGCTATTGAGTCACAGGTTCGAGTCCCGCTCCACCTGCCGAGGTTTGAGCAGTCAGTTAGTATCACAACCCCTCACACGATTGGTGTAGGTCATTTTCTACTGCACGGGTGTACAAAAGATAGCGGAGTGCATTTCGTTTGTGAAGATATGCATTCTGTTTTAGGCGTAATTAACGACCGTCTCCTACAAAATACTTATTAAAATCTAGGTATCGCTCTGTTATAATTGTTTCGAAAATAAATTTTGAAGTCAACTGCTTAGACTCCACTGCTTTAATGTATTGCCATATTGTCGATATTCGTAATTATCGTAATAGAATGTATTGAATGTGAATATATTTTCACTACCTGGTATTATCTTCAGTTTGGTGTAAAAACAGACACTGAGTGACTGTTTAGCTTAATAATGGTAAATTCTCCGGCTTTAGCATTTGGTGACACATCCGAATCCTCATGGAAACATCAATTTCCTTACGACTACAGATAAACCTTGCTGATGAATGCCAACAAGCATGAAACCTGAATTCAGGGTCGCTTGTCAATTGACTACTCACTTGTATAGGAGATTTCGTGTTTTTTTACTAGAAAGTAAGAAAAACTCAGTTGGTTTGAGCAACTTCATTTAAAGTTGTTATTCATCGTAGACTGACATCAGTTGGAGGAACAAAGGAAACCTGGGAGCACTGGACAGCTGTTCTGTCCTAGTATGGGACTCCTCAGCAGTGCGCACCCACGACCCCACACCAGCAGGGATCGAACCCGCGACATTCAGGTTCCGCGACCAGCGCGTTACCATTGAGCCACTGGGTCAGAATCCAATGCTCCATATTTCCAACTTCTGTTAGCTCACGATATAGTGCAACCGCCACCCAATGTCATCGTTGAGTATCTGTCCTGATGGCCATCAGGCTTTGACTCCACCGGTCACGACTTGTCATTGGAACTTCGGGAATACTTCTCGAAACTAGTCACCAATGAGCACCAGTTCAATTAAATTTTGAGGGAGTTGTGGAGATTTGGAATTATTTCAAGTTGTTCCTCCAACTGATGTCAGTCTACGATGAATAACAACTTGAAATAATTCCAAATCTCCACAACTCCCTCAAAACTTCATTTAAATTTTTGGATGTATGGAAATACATTCCAAGTCATTCTTAGTAATAATAATAATGACTTCATTCACAAAGATATTTCGAGAATACTCTGTAGAACTTTCAGTATATCACATAACATCAATTGAACAGAAACAATGTACATAGGTAGGTATACATAATAAAATGAAAGGAGTAGAAATTTTATACAAAAGAATATTTACTCTATCTACAATTTTCTCGAAAATACAGAGTTAACTTCGATAAACAGTCACATTAACAGTTAGATTCATAATACATAAACAACTACAGGCTGTGTACTCTTTAATTAGTGCTTTAAATAGCACAAGTTGATTAGTTAGTTCATTTCTGGAGTATTAGTAGTAGTAGTATATGGATAAAGTCTTATATACTTGCTCCTGGTGTTACTTGAGGACCAACACGTAGAGAGCTTTGAGTGAAGAGGATACTGATTATCCCATAGAATAACTCTTGTCAGATGTTTACATGAGTTATTATGTTTGTCTACAGCAGTTTCAATAAGAAGGTTTAAAGGTACACCACTAGTTCTATTGGAAATCTTCAAAGTTCTACGCAATGCAGCATAGTATTTTTTCAACAACTCAGGAAAGAGTAAAAAGGAAACAGAGGAGAATAGACAAAATGTAGGAGTTTATAAAACACACGAGAAGAAGATGAGTTATACTAGATACCTAGCTTCCTAATATAGTGAGTTAGGCGGAAGATTCTTTTAGGAACTGGTAAGATATCGGAGGACTAGGAAAAGTCCGAAGAAAAACATACTTAGATAAATCTCATTCGTCGGATTCTCTAATACACAACCGTCAATAGAACAGGAATGATAAAACTTAAGCAGTTTACGGAGGTTATGTTGTTTACATCTGAAACTAAAGCTTATAGTTCGAAATTTTGAAGAATTAAACACGAAATTGTTCACGAAGGACTATTGTCCAATACTAGAAATCGTTCAGTCAGTACCAATCTCATGAAGAGGTTATCAGCATACTTGGTAAAATTGATGCTTGCTGAAGATGATATATCATACAGAAAGAAACAGGAGAGACCGAGAAAAAGAACAGCACCTTGGGGAACTAGCGTCTGAATGTATTGCATTGCTTGTTAGCACTAACGGACAACGAAATTTTAAGGAATGAAGAAAATATAGTAATAGTTTACAGTAAGCAGTTGTTAAGAACGATTTGAGAAACTGACGTAATAGTCTCATCGGTTAACAATACTTGCGTCCTCAAGTATATTCCAGTTATTCATTCTCACTAGACAACTGGAACAATAAGAAGAAAAACAAACAGTTTGTAACGACCAGCTTTTGATACGTTTACGTCTAGCCTGTAGGTAGGCAGGTGGGTGCGTTATTGCAGGGCGTGTGTAGACCAGTGTGTGTTTTAATGGTGACCACAAGAATCTAGAAGGGAGTTGAGGAAGAGAAAAAGATGAACCGACGACTCAGTAAGCACAAGTTCAACTAGTATCAAGTTGCTGATGATGATTTTATTTTCCTTGGTTGATTTTAGTTATGTGGATAGTTGTTTTTTCTTTGGAAGGCAGTCAGGAGATAGTTTTTTTTGTGTTTCTTCTAATTTTTTTGTCAACAGTTATCTGTTATTTTATTTTTTCATATTTCCCAAGAGGTCTATCATCTTTGATAACTGTTCATGTATCCTTTTGTTATTTTCACTTTTAATCAACAATAAACAATTACTGAAAATTTACCTTCATTTTATGTATAAATTATTCAGACAATCACTATATTTGGTCAACGTGTACGTTATGTGACTGTACCGAAGATAGTTGATATTCCATCTACACTTACTGAATGGGAATCTAAACATCAAGACAATGGAATATTTATACCTAGACCAGTGAAATCATCAAAACCATTAAAAGAGAATCAAATCATGAAAACTACAAGACAATCATTTCAAAGCACTAATTCTTTATTCAATAATGTTGATGAAAATACTCCATCCTTGAAAAAGGATGATTTAGAAAATTTTGCATCTATTGGTGTAAAACCTAGTGGTGATAAGAAGATCGATTTAATTGTCGCTCAGACATTGAAGGTACTCAATGATATTTAATAGTCAGTAAGGCAACTATGCCAATCAATTTGTATTCATTACGTTTTTACGTGTATGAATGTTCAGGAAAGTGAAATTATTTAAACAATATACACTACTGGTATGCATATTAGCTATATTTTGCATTTTAAAATGATTTTTTAAAGCAGAGAATTACTTTTGTTTGTTTCCAACTTTGCATTTCGTTACATATTTTTTTCTGTCAACCATTCAGAGTTTTTTTTTGTTGTTTTACTGCATTTATTATTGGTAGAAACAGTGCAGTGTTTAGACCTTTTGTTGCTTTGTTTACAGTGTAAAAACCAGCTTTTGATATGTTTACGTCTAGCCTGTAGGTAGGTAGGTAGGTAGGTAGTATTTTGTTGCAAGGGGCGCGTAGAGCAGTGTGAGTTTATTGGTGGCTACGAGAATCTGAAGGGAAAAGAGGAAGAGAAAAAGGTGAACCGACGACTCACCTAGTACACAGGAAGTACTTACCTTTAATAATACAAGTTAACTGACAAACGGTAGAGCTTGACAACTAAGAGATGAGGCTGTCTGGAAATCGAAAGTGGAAGGTGAATGAGCAGGATTTCGAATGCGTTACAACAATACTGATCAGTTATGAATCTCTGTAGCTGCTTCTTCTGATTACATTTCTGCTGGCATTCTATGGCACAAAGTTTAATCCTTCTAAATGACTGACAGATAATCAGATGTAGACAACATAGACTGTGCTGTCACTGAGTAACGATTCAGGTTGCAAACGTAACATATATACTTAAAGGTCGGGTTGGTCAGTGTGATGAATAAAGAAATCGCATCTGTAATATCAGCAGTTGTAAAAAGACTGAAAAAAAGATGTGAGAACAGAAATAGATAAGACTTGAATGTATTTGTATTACTATGATCGGTATCTGCCACCTTGACGTAGTGGTCGGGCTTGGATATTACAACTACCCAGCAAGTTACACTGACTGGAAGGCTTGTTTCTTGAGGTCCTACTATGCGAGAAACGTCTGTTGGGTAGTGGTACGACAAAAACCAGTTACTAATATAATGTAAATTACTACGCTATGATGAAAGCTAAAGTAACTTGAATGTAAATTGCCCAAGATTCTTCGCAATAATCGCTAGCAGTGGCGTGAGCGAGAGAGATGGAGAAGGTATCAGCAGCCAGTAACGCCCGTCAGTTATTTCAGCTTATCAAGGATACCGTCAAGTAGGAGGTGATGGTCAGTGAAGCCATCACTGTAAAGAATGGAACCGTGACAACCTCAGGATAGGCAGCTAGGACGTTGAGCAAAACACTTCGAAGCCCAGTTCAACTAACCCACAGCATTACATTAGTTGCTCAGCATCCAGCTTGAACCTAATGTCGGTCCTTCAACAGTCCTCAAAGTTGAGAAAGCTGTTTCGAGCCTGAAACGTGTCAAAACAGCAAGGAATAATGGTTTGCCACTAGTGGCTTTTATGGATAGTGGTAAAAGACTACTGGTAAATGTGACGGAGGTACTTTGCAGTGTATGGGAATCAGAGGAAGTGCCTTAAGACTGGTTCACCTCACTGATAATTGCAGTCTAAAAGAAAGGAGATAGTACTTCTAGTGACGAAGGCGAATGAGTTTTTTTGACATCGTATTCAAGATCCTCGAGTCCATACTTACCCGACGTCTAACTGGATCTCGAGAATAGTAGGCAGGTTTCGAACCTGGTCGAGGATGCATCGGTCAGGTTATGGAACAGAGGCTTACATAACGGTGGCCTGCACTGGCCATATTTCTTGATGTAAGGATTGCATTAGGCTCTGTCGACCGTGAGTCGTTTTCGCAATGTCTGACTGTGAAGAGAGCCGCGAACAAGTATATAACATCCTTCAAAGCTCCCGACTCAAACTCACGGAACCACGTAGGGCCCATAGAGGGTTTTCATATGGATCACAGACAAGGGATGCCATTTTTCATTTTTGCCGTTTAAATTCCTTATGGGTTTATTAATGGACATAACTTTAGGTACTTATAACCTCACAGGAAATGATGTTCTCCCTTGAGGACATGTAGTTGACTTGGAGTACGCACACGATATTGTCATGTTAGGGGAAGATGCTACAAAAATCCAGGGTCTTCTAAAAGCCTTACGTAGAAATCCGTGTATGCTTGGCATGTGTTTCAAGCCTGCTGAATGTAAGATGGTGTCCCAGTTTTGGTCTACTGCAAGTAATCTCAGTTTAATGATAAGGAGTGAAGTGGTGGAATATGTCGATCACTTCACTTTCTTGGGGAGTTGCATGAGCCAGCCAAACGGGCTGGTTGCTGACGGAATCTCAGCTCAGATACAGAAGCTCCGTTTGACATTTGAAAACTTGTGTCATCTATGGCACCTACGATCCGTTAAAAGACTAATATTATTGCACTGCAGTCGATTCTGTCATGTTGTACGTCGGTAAGATACGGGGCGTTAAAAGTAGAAAAGGTGGAGTGGTTACAGAGTTTTGATCACATATATCTTCGTAGCATTTCTCGCATTTGATGAATCGCCGTATAAGCAATGCTAAGGTCACGTGGAGGGGTACTAGACAAGACAAGCTGGGAAGTTGACTGATGAGGTTATGAAACTTCATTGGCTGAGGTGGCTTGAACATGTGTTGCTCGAGCCGAGTCACTGTATACTTTGATGTGTGACTCCAGAAGAAATAAAGGTCTGATTGAAAGGTAGCTTAGAGTGACCAGACCAAAACGTTGGTTTGAGCCGTGTAGGGAAGTGCAAGCTGCCTTACTGGAAGGAGTCCCCGAAACATTGAGAATTGGTTTTTGAGGCCTCTTGATGAAATATTTGAATATTGGTTACAAGAGCGTAAATCTGTTTACTTTTTGACGCATTCTGAAGCTTGAACGTTTTGACTAACCTAAGTTTTTAAGTCCCTTCTACCATAGACCGTCAACTTTAATATCAGCCTTTCTCTATTCGTTCTTCTCATGCTGCTGTCAAGTGTGGCAACCTGAAACGATGAATTTGTGTAAAGTTTCGTGTTGATCCGGTCTATCTGTAAGAAGAATGAATGATTTTTTTCTTCGCCAACCTGCAAATTCTTCATTCAACTTCTAGTTAGTCGTACTAAGCGACTCTTTTGAATGCAGATGAATATATTTGTTCACCTATAACCTCTCTACTTATTTACTCAGAAGCAGGAGAATTTCGGATCAACCAATTGTAGTACTTCTTCCTCTTATGTCCTGAAAATGGTCAATTATAAAGCACAGAACAGAAGAACTGAAATTTTCTAGGTCGTTTTTTCAGTGACGTCATTCTCAAGTTGTTGAGTCGCATGTAAATATTACATTTGATTCAAAGTAAGGATGGAATACTTTGTAAAATATCTTGATAAACATTAATTCTAGATCACAGTTCAAGAGAAAAGAAAAATCTGTAGAATGTGGATAATGATCGGTTGAAACTTAGTCAAAACTGAAGTCATATTCAGCTACTAGAGTGAATGATGTAATAGGATTAGATAGAATGACTACTGTTTATATTTATCATCATAGGACCAGGTGTTACTGCGTAACGATCCGAATTGCCACAGCTCATATCAGTACATCAAGTAGAAAGGTAGTAAGGTGAAGATAAGAAAATTCACTTAAAAGAAATATAAAGTATGAGAAGAAAGAAAGGAAAAATGACAAAATGGTGGGAATCTGCATCGCCCCACATGGTTCAAACCAACAGTCAAAGACTTCATGCATTGGTGACAGTGTTTTAGTCTGGCCACCATGGACCTTTTTTCAGCCTGGACCTACTTCGGCCAACGTTGTGTGGCGAGGCAATCGGTGACTAGGCATACGTAACACGTATCCCAACCATCTCAATCAATGAAGGTTCATAACCTTGTCAACTGATTTAACTCTTCTCCCTAAAACTCTATACCTGACTTCTGCATTACTCACGTGGTGATACCACGGAATACGTCCTATACTACGAAGGCAACGGTGGTCAAACGCCTGAAGCCTTCTCATGTCTTCCACCTTCAATGGCCATGTTTCACAGCCATACAGTAGAAGTGAGCGGACTGCTATGCACTACACGCGACCCTTAATAGACAAACGGATATCACGGTGGCGTAAATTGGCAAAAGCCAATCGAGCCTTTTGTATCGGTGCAGAGATTTCATCGGCAACTGACCCACCAGGGCTGATCCTACTTCCCAGGTAAGTGAAGTGGTTGACACACTCAACCACCACTCTCTATTGTTAGCCGTGGTACCGCTGAAGACCAGTCCTGGAGCAACAATTTGCATTTAGGTGGTGAGAACCGCATTTCAAACATTAGAACGACTTAACTCGGAGACAACACATATTATTATAATAATAAGAGATGAAACAAGATTTCATATGAGAGGACTGAACAAACTTCCTTTGAACCCAGAGATAAGGTCCTAAAATAATACTAAGAATAAATTCTGTAAACCAAAACAACAAACTAAAACAAAGATTTTAGTGAAGAGTATTTCTCTTTGTAGCATCCAACATGGTCTATGTTGATCACCCACACATAACCTAGCTGAATGGTTGGGAAAACTCTTGAAAATCCTACCAGAATCTATTTATTTCAGTCCGCATTTGAAAGATACATTTGATCTCATTGACCACTCAAGTGATAATACTATCAAAGATAAGATCGTATACTCTTGATTTCTCAATGTACTACTGATAAAGATGATTGATATTCAATGTAACGATGTTTCTTCGAATAGTCTTTTACTCTCTATCTGTTTCACCTTTCTGAAAGATTTATTATCATTGTCATCAATAAATTAAGCTCGCCTGGTTAACTGGTTCACTAGTTACTAGCCGGTCCTAAGCCCGAATAAACAGGGAAGGTTGGGCATAGGGCTATCGACCCTCGCCAGGATCGGAAAGACAGTAAAGCATTAACCTGAAATCAGTATGGAGATCTACTGTACTCAGCACAAAGCGTCAACAAGATCCCGATTTTCAACACCAATGTTAAGTCAGTGCTTCTATG